CCCCGCCACAACAAAACGGTTCAGTGATAAAGAGTAAGAGGCTGATATCAATAGTTTCTGGTATAGAATTTGTTCGAATTCTTTTTCCCCCTCTTTTTGCTGCTCCTAGGTTAGATTGGCTTGGTCAAAAGGCTGTTCAAATCCTCTTAACAAGTCATAAAGTAAACTGTATATCAGTTGGGAGGGGTAAATCACACTTAGTTTTGAAAACTACAGAAGACAACTAGAGATAATTCTGTAGACTCTGGCTAAGTAGCTGTAGATTATAGAATAATGATGATTTTTGGTAGTTCCACATTCAGTATCTTAATACAGTAAGGATGTATCTTCTCAATGCTCTGACTGGTTAAGCAAAGCATCTTTGTAGGCAACGTGATACAGTTGTTCCTTTTTAGCACCCAGTTCCTTCACTCTAATGAAGCACTTTCCTTGTGCTCCCTGAGCAGGCTGTGGGTCCTGCTATTCTCAGTCTCTCTTTCCCCAGAGCTTATGAAAAGCTCATAGGTGCAAAAACAGTTTGAGTGTTTCTGTTTAAAATCATTATTTGCCTTTTGGGGGTGGGAGGAATGAGACTAATTATTTATTTATTTATCTTTTAAATCAGATTTCACTTTTGAACAGAAGAAAGTTTTCTTATTTTGTGGAAGTTTAGCATATCTGAGAAGACTCAGTTTTTATAAGTTTACATGTTTTTGCAATAATTGCATTTTGCATAATGTCCTGCTCTTCAGATGCAGAAACAGAACAGTTTCCATTTGACCTTTACTTTGTTTCTGTGGTGCTTGTGTAGCTGTATCCATGTTCACCAAGAATATTTTCACCTCAAAACAGCTAATTTCCTTTATGAAGAGGAAAATGTAATTGCAAGTAGCAATAGGAAGGCCAGCTCTCTCAGAAGTGACTTCTACTTGCCTTCTGAAAAATCTACTTTTGGGTTTTTGGTGGTGGGGCACAGGGGACACTTCTTTTTAGAGGAAGGCAGTTTGGTTTCTTTAATCTGTGGTCAGTATGCTCTTTCTTAAAATTTTGGTGCCCTAAGAAGTCTACATGCTCTTAGCTCTTTAGCAAGGAAATTGTTTTGTGTACGTGGACCAGGATACAGCAATAAGATTTGGAAAAGCAGGAAGATTTTGTCAGTACTGGCCTTAACATTGTCTCCTCACACTTCCATGAGTTCCTCTGCCTGTCATGAGATGCCCAACCCTTTGCAAAATTTGATACTAAATTTTCACAGCTTTCTTTTAAAAAGTGAAGTCACCAAACTATTGTACCCTTTTGTCCTGTTTCCTTAAGAGAAGGAAAGTGTTAATTTTTTATGTCTGCACTATTTTCCTCATCTCCCTTGCTGTTTACCTCACTAATCCAGAGGCAATTGAGCCTGGGAGATGTCTGTGCTATCTTCCATTCTCACACAGCTCATGATCTGTCAGTAACTGGAGATGTCTGTCATTGTTATACTGGTAAAGGTTTGGAAGTTTGGCACTTCAGCTCTAGAACAGTAAACTTTTCTAACAAAGAGCCTAGTCAGATTAATTAGTTTAATAAATATATTGTTGCTCATACACACTTGCATGGATCATGTGAGTAGATGTACGCACTGAACATCAATATCTCTGCTGATAATTGAATTATGTTATACTGTTTTAAGCCATCTTTTGAGGCAGCATAAATCATATAGGTTTAGTTTTAAATATTATTGTTCATATGCAAAATATAAATGTGCACCTGAGAACTAATGTCACAGTAACAGCTTGGTCTGCTAGTGTTGTCCTAGTGGTTTTCAAGTGGTGTCACTAAAGTCTTAAATTAAAGAAAACTGTCCAAGTTTACATTCATGCGTATAAAATTTGAAAGCTGAGTATAGTAACTGATTGATGCATTACTAGCTAAGTAGATAGTTTAATATTTGCTTGTAGATCTGTAGTATGCTGAGAATTAATATGCTATCTGCTAGTCACTAATTTGAAGAGTGCAAAAGTGTATGTTAGTTTGCTTGGGTTTTATTTTTATTTTTTATCTTTACTACATTGCTATATGTAATATTAAAATAATATTTTTTACTTTCATTTTTTCTCTTTGTCCTGATATTTTTTTTTTTTTTTTTCTTTTTTACTTTCATTTTTTCTCCATGTCCGGATATATATTTTTTTTTAAATATTATATACTCCAAGCAGGATTTTTGTGCAGAATTCTAAAATGAGATGTTAGTAAACTCTGTGATGACAGCACCACTTTTATCTTTTTAGTGGCAGATAATTTGTCAAGCAAACAAAACTATAAATATATTTTACATTTGTGAATACCTTTTCTGAAGGACCACAAAATGTTACCACAGTTAACAAAATGATAACTTGGTTTGGTTTAGGTTTTTAATTTCTTGTAAATCAGAATGGTTTTTGTTAATCAGTTTCCAAAACAAAAACCTGATCTGTTCGCTGTGGAGCAGTAGGAATACATTTTCTGTAATAAATGCATCATTAAAATGCATGCAGCCTATTTCAGTTTTAAAATCATACATGAAATTGTCTAATTGTGCTATTACAATTAAAATGGTAACAAGAATCAGTAACTGCCCAGCTAAAATTCTGATTTGGATACCTAGAATAATAAGGGAAGAAATACAATAAGTAGTTGTCAATATTAAAGCAAGCTGAAGGAGGAAGGCTTTGGGCCTTGTAGTCGGTAGAATGAAACAGCAGATTTCAGTATCCACAATCCTTTCAGTATTAAATTTTCAGTAAAATAAAATTACTTGTATATGAAAACATAGCCTTTCCCCAGCTCTCTTTTTTTTCCTGATCAGCTGATGAAGAGACTAGCAGCACGCTGCTTTGCTGGCTTGTTAATTTTATCCCCACTAACTGTGATTTCCGATAGCCGGCCTGCTGATAGTGGTAAGGTAAATATCCTTTTTCATTGCCGTCTTGAAGATTCAGTAGAACTCCATCACAGGCATGTGTAGGTGTGTAACACATCAAAAGTCAGTGTTCTCTGTATTTCAATGTACAACTGAGTGCTTAAGGAGAGCAGTGACATTAACTGTTGACAGCCTTGCATGCTGTATTTATTATTAGCTTTTCTGGCTTCCAAGATATGCAGAGAAATTTCCTTTTCTTAGTCTTTGTTAGCCGCAGTGGTTTATAGTGGGTGTCCTGCTTTAGCCAGATTAATATTAATGAATTTGTGTGCTGGTTGTTATTATTATTTTTTTCCTTCCTTTTTCTTCCTAACTCATGAGATCGCAAGCCTCCTTCATAGTGGTTATCTGAACGCTGTGGAAGCATGATGTAAATTGTCTTTTGATTATTAAGGCCTAGTTTCAGGCTCTCCCTCAGGATTCTGCATTCGTGTTTGTTCTGTGGATTTGCACATCGGAGGATGCATAGGAAACAGATTTTGAAATCCCAGTGGTGTTTTTAACATGCCAGGTTGTGCATCAGGTTTTGTTCAGAAATGTTTTTCAAGAGACAGTGTATACAATTGAGAAAAATTATTTCTGGGCTGTAATCACTCTTTTTATATTGATTGTTATGCTCACATGATCATAAATATTAGCCATGTTTGGTGCTGTGGAGAAATGAAGGTAATTGCCTAATGATAAGAGCTCTTTCAGCTACGAGAAAGGATTGATTAGCATTTGCATGTACTCAAGGCAATATTAAGAGGCAAAAGGGACAAATATTAAAGTCAGTTATGTTCTGAGAAATCATTAATCAGAAAGCCTGTTTTTAAGATTTTTTTGGGGGGCTTTTCTGTTTTTAATTTTAGTTCTCTTATGACCTGGTATTTTTATTTCTTTTCTTTTGTTGGCTTTCCCACATCAAGAAAGTTCAGCTTCTTGCTTTATCACCTGGATCTGATAGTGTGTGAACAGGTTCCCTTTATTCCTAGTTTGTTTTTTTGTAGCAATTTTTTTATCCCTCTACATAGTGCTGCTGGTCTGGTTAAAAGCATACATTCAGGTAATTGAAACTAGTGTTCGTTGTTTGTGACTGTGTGCGGGGTTTTTTGGGGGTTTGTCTGGTTAGGTTTGGTTTGGGTTTTTTTGCATCCCATGTTATCCGTGCTTTTTGCAATAAAAACACTGTACTGCCAGTGCTTCTGCCTATCTGTTGGTTACTATTCTAGAATAAAATACATTTTAGAGATAGTTTTAACGCGAAGGTGATTTGGAAGTTGCTTAAAGTATTTGGAAGAGAAGATGTGTCATTACTGCATAAAGTATCTATGTGTTGTTTGTGTGCGCAAAGAACTGTGTATGACCTGGCTTTGGGAGCTGAGCAGAGTTTAGACTGTCCTGTTTGAAAACATACGGTATGAAAGTCTGTTTTGCATGGAACTACGTAAGCCAGAACTGCCACTGATGTGAACAAATGAATGTTTGTTGTACACTTACTGACACAGTACCACAGGCCATTATCGTGGGTGAAAGTGTCTTTTGGTGTGGAATTCAAAGTTCAGGTAAACATGCATCTATTTAGATGATAGTGGGATTCTCAGAACAAATTAATGTCTAGTGTCTTTTTGATTGCCAGTAACTCAATTCCTTGTTGTACTCTTGTTTATAAATAAGCTGAACATTTTGAGTTGAATTCTCTGCATCCTATGGGGTTGCATTTTTGTTTTTAAATACAGTTTATTATTTCTCTTTGCAAAATTTTTGTTTAAAAATCATACTTTTTGAATCCATTGTTGTCAGGCAATTGAAGACGGCAATTTGGAAGAAATGGAAGAGGAAGTCCGGCTTAAAAAACGGAAGAGACGAAGAAATGTGGATAAAGATTCTGGGAAGGAGGATGGAGAGAAAGCAAAGAAAAGAAGAGGCAGACCTCCTGCAGAGAAATTGTCACCCAACCCACCCAAACTGACAAAACAAATGAATGCTATCATTGATACTGTGATAAATTACAAGGACAGGTGAGCTTGGAGACGATCTCTCTGTCGCACATGCTCTCTCCCTCTCGGTTGATATATCTCTCAGCATTTTTTAATGGTTTCATTTTTACTCTCAACTTTTAGGAGGACATGCTGACTCAGGATTTCTGAAGAGTAATTTCGCTTAGAGCCTGATCCTGTATGTCTCATAATTTGTAGAGGGTTTTTTAAAGACCTGTGTGATAGGAAGTTGTTGAAACACAAATACAGAAAGTAGGCATAGAGCTCCTGCCTAGAAATGGAGTCATTCTGCTCAGGAGGTATACTTAAGAACATTTAGCTTGAGTGGGATTTTCCCCAGTTTGGTGGTGCAGCATGTGTTAAGTTTAATCTTTTCAAATACACGGCTACAGATTTATTAATTCAGGTTAACATGGGTCTCACCATGACCCAAAAGACTTCCCCAAAAATGTAGAACCTGTATCATGAGCCTCTGAACTGCCAAAGGAAAAACCGTATAAATACTGAGCATAATATGTTGTCTGCAGCTGAGATGGAAGCCTGTTTGTTAGAAATCCCTATTTTCAGCATAACAAAATGCTGAACAGCTGGACCTTAGGAAAAGGTACTGCTGCTAATCTGAAGTGTCATTTGCAGACCTGTTTTGTAGGTTTTCAAAGTGAAACTTATCTATGCTTCATGAGAAGGGAATTGAGAATTAATTAATAGCAACTTTGAATCACACTTATTTGAGGAAATTGTGGTTTTTAACTCAACTTCTATTTGCCAAAAATCAGTAAAGCCTTCTTGTGTGCTTATCCCTTCTTTGCTGTACCTTGAATTACTTAAATCATGTAAGGAGCAATTATAAGCTAAATGAATATTAAATACATTCAGAGAAAATCAAGAAGTATTTGCATTAAGTGACCCACACAAGTGTAACAATTTAATTTTTGCATATAAACAACATAAAGTCTGTGACTTCAGATGGCAAGTTGCACTTCCTTTTTTGCAGCTGCTGTTCTGGGTCTGCCTATACAAGGTTAGCTTGGGCGATATCTGTTGGAGCACACAGAGCTGTGATGCCTGACTTCTTTGGCACATAACTGATGAAGCATCCTGTGGTCTCTGGGCTCTTTCTAGACTACATTGAAAAGTTTATTGCGTCAGAACAGGATTCACAGCAATGAACACGGTGAGCAGGAAGCTGACTACAAACTTAGTGTATTCAGCTTGTTGTGATTCCCAACTATCAAAACAGCTGAAAAGGGAGAAGTGTTTAAAGTTCAGGTATTCCAGTCAGGGCTGGAAAAGAAGCATCTCTTAATTTTGGATCCCTGGCCTTGAGCCTTCCCGTGAAGCTAGACACTTCTGATCAGGGTGCCTACCTCTCATTTTTAAAATAGCAAAGTTAGTTCCACTAACCTTCAGTAGGGGATAGCTACTGATAGGAACTGATAGTTACTGGGGAAGTGGAAGATTTTTGCCCGTCACTTGTGCCCCAAGCAGTTCATGTATGATCTGTCAAACAAGTTGACCACTGTGCTATTATGTAGTGACAAAGCATACTATTCCCTCTCCCAGGAGCCCACATTTATGCAAGACAGAATTAGTTCCCACTTCAGAAAGTGTATAGAGTTTTATTCTGTTAGGAATTAAAAATGCATGTTAAACTGAGTTCTTCAGTGCGATGAGCCGTGCAAAAAATGTTCCAGGTTCCTGTATTGTGATTTTTTGTGAGCTAGCATCAAACCACCCAATCCTGTGAAAGTTGGGTCAGAACAGAATTGCAAATTTAATATCTTAAAATCTTTGAGGTTAAGGTTGTTCTAGAGTTCAATGAACATTTTCAGGATTTGCAGCTTTAGAATTAAGTGGATTTTAGACATTGAAACCCTTTAGCTTCGTTGGGGGTTCATGTTTGTTCACCTCTGTGCTTTTGTGTGTGTGAAGGCAATTGGGACAAGCATAGAGGGACGGGTTAATTGGAAGAAAAGTAGGCCATGAGCTTCATCTGGGGAAAAAAGAAAGTTGTTCATATTTAGTATATGAATGCTTGAAATCATCTTTGTCTTTAGCTTAAATTTTCAGTGCTGATAGATTCTTTTATCTCTACTTTATGATAAAGTCCAGAGGGCTGATCCCAACCATGGAGAGCTGATTGTGTCCCAAAAGATGGTCAGGTGATACCCATCCAAATTTTAACTGACTCTATCCTGAGTTACTTTGTCAAAAGCAATTCTACAATATTAATAAGTTTTATTGTAATTAATAAACCAGCAAGCAAAAAAATCAAGAGAATGCATTGCTAAACTAATAAATCTCTATGTGCTTTATCTCATGTTTCCCCTTTCTTTTGAGAAGAGCTCCTTGTATATACAGAACCACTTTGCTGTTATTGTTAAATCTTTCTTTTTAAGAAAACATTTTTCCATGATGCCCACTAAAATATGGGGTACCAGTTGGCTGCTTTTTTTGTGGCAATTCTGTATAATGTTGATGCAAGGAAGGAGTCTCCAAATACTTTCCTAATTGTTTTGTATTGGACTTCTGTTGTAGGCATTTGGAAACAAGAACAATCCTTTCCTGCCTTCGTTAAAAAGCATCCAACAAAATAAGCTGGATTGCCTGTGTCTATGAAAGCTAGAGGCTACAATAATACAAACAATAAGCTCTAGTAAACTGTAGTTTGAGCTACACAGTTATTTTATAAAGGTCAAAATAAGATTAAACAGACAAATTAGCAACATTTGAGGTAAATGTTCAGTGTAGAGAAATGCAGCATATGGTTCTTCAAAAAGGAAATTCCAAGGCAGATAGCCAGCTACTTGCAAAACCCCAGTTAAAGAACTCCGTGCAACAGTGGAAGTTAACATTGAGGTCAAATTACTCTTTATCTGTCATGTCATCAGTCCAGGGAAGTTGGACTAGATTATCTTCAAAGGTTCTTTCCAACCCAAACTATTCTGTGATACTGGTAAAGCATTTGTTAAGGTACCACAGGAAAATGCAAGCTAATATGAAAGGAAAAGGAGTTAGAATGAGTAAGCTCTCTAATCTGAGTGAAAATAAGGAAAAAGATGTAACTGAAGACACTCTTGAAAAAGGAACTATTAAACTGGAAAGAAGATACCACAAAAATTATTGAAAAATTGGTGTTGGCATACACCATCATATATTAATGATATATTTTAAGAAATGAGGAGTGTCCTAGCCAAAATACCAAGCTTTAAAATACCAGCTTTAGGATGGTATTTGTGGAGGACTGAACACAGTTAAATCTGGAGTGAAAGAACCAGCATTAAATACAGTACCTCAGAGTGCATTGTAAGGTACTTACAAACTAAAAATTGGAAACATTTTTTTATTTGGAATCTCATCATATTTAGCTGACAGAAAAAGAGTGACCTGGGCAAAGAAATTATTGATCACAGCTAACTATGAGCCATCACTATTGCCCAGCCATAAGAAGAGAGGAGCCTGTCCCTGACACTGTTGCTTGTGTGGATGAGGAAGTACTCATTATATGTGTGTGCCATTATACGTGACACCATTAATGCTTCTGAGTTGCTGTATATAGTACTCGAACGCTTTTCCATTCAAGAAAGATTAGTTTACACTGAGACAAATGTAAATAATTGTTTCAATGACAAGTAGCATGGAAGAGTTGTGCAAGAAGAAATAGATTGGTTTGTCTATCCAAACACAGCAGAATCTGAGAGGGGAAGATGATTACTCTCAGTAAATTCACCTGAGAAAGAAGGGAAGCATAAACACAGGGAGAGTGTAGAAATACGTAAAATACAGGATGCTGATCACACAGTTATATAAGTCTTAACATTCATTAATACCTTCTAGTTGTTAACTTAAGAGTTCTGGAACCTTTCTGTGCGGAATAGTGGGGCAGAAATACCTAGATAGATTTGTTCCTTGATTAAAAAACTTTTATATGATTATTTACAATACCAATGCCCTAGATACAGGGACCTGGAAACACCTTTCCAGTTACACAAATGATCCTGGTTCTCCAGTGTAAAGTATCTGCATCATTGTTGCAGACTCAATTTACGATAATAGATTTTAATCTGGGATTTTGTTGCAATTATTTCTTAAACTAAGATTTAAGTGCCTTTGCAGCCTTGTACCTTGTTCTAATCTTGCAACGTAAAACACCTGTTTAGAAGAGAACAAGTTGAAATGTATCAGTCTAGTATTGTCACACTTTTTTCCCATTCTGATGCTTTTAACCTGTCTCTACCCTCACTCTAAAATTAGGAATGCCCATAGAAGTGCATAATCATAGAATCATATGTGTAATATATATGTTGTGTTTTCAGAAAGCAAAATTAGTTTGTACGTCCAGTTTAAATGCTTTGGCCCTTCGAAAGCAAGGACAATTTTACTGGAGATAGACGTTCTATTCGGAATAAGGAATTTGTATGTCTGATTTGAGCCCCAGCTGCTGATTTTGCATCATGCACATGCAGTCTTAGTTCTCCCAAACTCTTTTTTCTCTTTTGTAGGTTTTCCTTTATTTTTTTTTATTTTAAAGGAATGCAAGCTGTAAGCTTAGTTACCCTTTCCTGGTTGCTAAAATTAAGTGAAGGAAAAGAATGATACTTACAGCTTGTAATCCTTCAGCTTCCCTACAAATCCACTGTCCTTTTCTACCTTGCATCAGTTTGATGTTTCCTGTCTGGGTGCCAGTTTGATGCTACTGCTAGTTTGCATTAGCTTTGCTTAGATAGCAACAGCTGACTTCAAGAGTCCTAGGATGCTGATAGCTCTGTTACATACAGTGATTTTCATTTGTGATCTGCCTGCTTTCTGCTCTGTTCGTGAGACTTAACGTAAGGACTCGCATGGTGTACCAGTTAACTTCACAAAGCTTCCTCCTCATAGCTCATGTCTGTTGGACCACATTTAATAAAGCTGGTAAGAAAATTGGACAGTGGGTTTCTTTTGCCCTGTCCTTGTTCCCTGCTTGGCAAGAGACTTACCCAGTCTGTAGTGCTTAGCATTTTGATCTGCATCATTAAAGC